TAATATATAAAATTAAAATTATAAAATAATAAAGTAACATAAAAATAATAAAATAATATATATATTTTTAATGTAAATATATAAAATAAAACAAAATTAATAAAATATAAATATATAATTAATTGATTTGATATTTATGACAAAAAATGATTGGCACAAATTCCAAGCAATCACCACCCCCTACTAAGGGGGTGTCATTAGCACTCCCCAAAACTTAAACCCTCCTCATCTCATCACATTTCTGAAATTAGAGGCTAAAACCCTATTGGCCATTTCTTCCAGATTCTTCTGTCTTCCTCCTTAATAGTACACGACCCAAATCCCCTCTCGAAATCTTTAAGCATCTTCATTGATCATGTATCGTTTCGCTGTAAATCTTGCTTCTAAAGCTAGGTACTTTTCATCTCATCATTTCAATAATTGTTAATCCATACCCACATGATTTATGTGGTTCTTGTTCCACCAAGCACGAATTTTTTCTAATCAATATGCTTCTTTTTTGTTGTAATTTGCAGGGTTGCAAACAACGGCACCCAATTGGTAATGAATCGACTCTCTCTTTCTCTTTCTGTATAATTTTTTATGCATTTATGTGTGTTCATCTTTATCTGCATGTGGAAAACAGATTGGAAGTAGGTTGAGTTGGAGCAGAAACTATGCAGCTAAAGACATCAGATTTGGAGTAGATGCTAGGGCCTTAATGCTTAGAGGTGTTGAAGAGCTTGCTGATGCTGTTAGAGTAACCATGGGTCCAAAGGTACTTTCTCATTAATCTTGAATACGCCTTTTGGACATGCATCATTGGCGAAAGATATATGATTTTTAAATTTGATTTCGATGTCCAATGGCAAAAAGAATGGGATTACAACTGGGGGTTATTGGAGTGAACCAGAAAGTTATAAGCTTTCTAAGACTGCATGATGGAATTAGAGATTTAATTTCTGATTATAGTCAACTAGTTGTGATTTGAGTCTTGGGGGACTTTACAAATCGATTATTGTCAATGGGTGTTTCTGATTTTGGTGGATTGTATCGTATATGGGGAGCTAGAATTGAAAATGAATGTTATTAAGGTTGGAGATTGAATAGGTTTGAAGTTGAAGAATTTAATCATTTATATTGTATTTTATAGAGGGAATATGCTAGCTAGTCACTCAGTTTGATAAAATACCATTTGGTGATGAATTTTAGGGGCGTAACGTGGTGATTGAACAAAGTTATGGAGCACCAAAAGTGACAAAAGACGGTGTAACGGTGGCAAAAAGCATTGAATTTAAAGACAAAGTCAAGAATGTCGGTGCAAGCCTTGTCAAACAGGTTGCTAATGCTACAAACGATGTGGCTGGTGATGGTAAGATTTAACTCATCCATGGTGGATTTGTGTTTTGTTAACAAGTCTTTTATTAGAAATCTAACAATCTCTTTGCAACCATTGTTTTAATGGGGTCCTTACTGTCTCAGGTACTACTTGTGCGACAGTCCTCACAGGGGCAATATTTTCAGAGGGGTGCAAGTCAGTTGCAGCTGGTATGAATGCAATGGACCTCCGGCGTGGTATTTCCATGGCCGTTGATTCAGTGGTAACAAACTTGAAGAGTAGGGCTCGTATGATAAGCACGTCTGAGGAAATCACGCAGGTTTGTTTACTAAATTTTAGTCGTGCTAGGTGCTCGAAAGTGTTTTTTTGATCAAATGTAATATAATTAACAGGTCGGTACAATTTCTGCAAATGGAGAACGTGAGATAGGTGAGCTAATAGCCAAGGCTATGGAGAAAGTGGGGAAAGAGGGTGTTATCACAATTCAAGTAAGCTGCTTTTAGTTATCCTTACTTTCATGATCAGGAAATTAAATTAGTTAATCTTGAATGATTATCGTTGACAAAAGACTGCTGCTTTTTTGCATTGATCTGGTGTAGGATGGGAAGACATTGTATAATGAACTAGAAGTTGTTGAGGGAATGAAGCTGGACAGGGGCTACATATCTCCACATTTCATCACAAATCAAAAGAATCAGAAATGTGTAAGTTCCCGTGATTATTAGCTGATAAAGTGTACTATATATAGGGCATGTTCGGGGAAAACCTTAAAGAAAATGAAAAACTGATGAACACACTGGTAACGGTTACCATGTGCATATGTGCATACCGTCAAGATGAACGGGTTGCCAGGGTGTTCCTCAGTTTTCATTTTTTGGGGGTTTTCCCCTGAACCTCCCTATATATATACTGTATTTTGAAAAATTGCCAACTGATTGATGTTCAACAGGAACTAGAGGACCCTCTTGTTCTAATCCATGAGAAGAAGATATCAAACATTAATTCTGTGATCAAAGTGTTAGAGTTGGCACTGAAGGTAGAGTCCCAGATGTTCTTGAAGTTCGTTGTTCCATTTTGAATTTAGTTACACAATCATTTGGGGTGTGTGTGTGTATATATATATATATATCATGCAGCTATATGCCTGATGTATTTTAATTCTCACCCAGAAACAAAGGCCCCTGCTAATTGTTGCTGAAGATGTGGAAAGCGACGCGTTAGCGACCTTAATTCTTAACAAGCTTCGAGCTGGCATAAAGGTTTTTATCATCTTTAGAAATGTCGAAATCCTGAACGATCTTTGTTCTTGGTGTATGCAACTGACTATTTTCTCTGAATAGGTTTGTGCCATAAAAGCTCCTGGTTTTGGTGAGAACAGAAAGGCAAATCTGGAAGATCTCGCCACTCTCACCGGAGGCCAGGTGGGTTAATGATATTTCCTAATTATGACATGATATTATGTGTTGTCTGATAGATCCTCTATGATGAGCTTTTCATCTGACCTGCAGCTTATAACGGAAGAACTTGGAATGAACCTTGACAATTTGGAGTTGGAAATGCTTGGATCTTGTAAAAAGGTTTGTAACATTACTTCAAGCATTCAGAATGAACAGGTACTCGACTTTTGGGCTGGTTTATAGTCAACGGTCATTTTTGTCGTTAGGTCACTGTATCCAAAGATGACACAGTTGTGCTTGACGGTGCTGGTGCTAAGAAGTCTATAGAAGAGCGGTGTGAACAGGTGCACCTTTGTTACTGTTTTTCTTGAAAAGTTCTATGGTCATATCTAAGGATTCTTCTTGGCAAATAAATAATTTCAATTGGCTGTTATCCCGTTGAGTAGCTATAGGGGTATTAACATGATGCAGCATGTTATCTGTTGGACAGATCAGGTCAGCGATCGAGTCCAGTACATCTGATTATGATAAAGAGAAATTTCAAGAAAGATTAGCAAAACTTTCTGGTGGTGTTGCTGTATTAAAGGTTTGTTCTTCTTCCAGTTGATCTTTGTATCTTTATGATCAAAAGTCTTGGTATTTATGTTTGATTACTGAAAATTTGCAATCATGTTCAGATTGGAGGAGCCAGTGACAGTGAAGTAGGTGAAAAGAAAGATCGAGTTACCGATGCTCTAAATGCCACAAAGGCAGCTGTTGAGGAAGGAATCGTACCAGGTAAACTGTCCAACATCTCTTCTCCTGAATTGGTCATAGAAGAATCAAAGAAATACACATAAAATAAGCTCGTTTGATGCAGGTGGTGGTGTTGCTCTTCTATATGCATCTAAAGAATTGGATAAGTTGCCAACAGCCAATTTCGATCAGAAAATAGGTGTTCAGATCATCCAGAATGCGCTAAAGGTTAGAGCTTTATATTGTTCACCGAGCACTTGTATTATAATTTCAATCAAATTGGTCGTTTGATATATAAGATGAAGAAATTGCGTGTTTTTTACTTGACTAATTGCAGATGCCTGTTTATACAATTGCCTCTAATGCTGGAGTGGAGGGTTCAGTTGTGGTTGGTAAGCTTTTAGAGCAGGATGACCCAGATCTTGGGTATGATGCAGCAAGAGGTCTGTGCCTATCTTTTTGTTATTTACATAAGCAGATGGAGAATTATGATTAATTATGTGGGAATTTACAAATCTTTAGGTGAATATGTGGATATGGTGAAAAATGGAATCATTGACCCATTGAAAGTGATAAGAACAGCCTTGGTTGATGCAGCAAGGTTAGTTGAAACAACTGTGGTCAGTTGGTTCTGATTCTTGTATATCTAACGGGTGCTGAACTGATTAAGTTTGTATTTTGTGTAGTGTGTCGTCTTTGATGACAACCACTGAAGCTATCGTGGTTGAATTCCCCAAGCCTGCTGGTGAAGCAGCTCCAGGAATGGGCGGTGCAATGGGTGGCATGGACTATTGACCACCCTTGTGATACTGCAAATGATTGACACACATTTTACTGACAAAATAAATACACAAAGACTCAGCTCAGTATGTGTAGTGAGAAAAGAAGGCGGAAGTGTGATTAGCATGTAAACTTTTGTTAGGGCACATTTTTGAACAATTATTAATCTTTTTTTAATACCATTTGGATGTGTGCTAATGGCTGCTATGAGAAAATGAAAAATAATGGGTGAGGGGATGATACTGTTATGTGGAGTTGAAGGGTTAGAAAGAAAGAAAGGGTAAAGAAAGCAATGAAAGGTTAAAGATTACTCTGCCTCTTCTGTACATCACTTCCCTCTTCTAATTCCTACCATTTCACACACTCAAAAGCTAAACTAGTTGGGTTGGCATATTTTATTTGAATTGAGGTTTTATCCAGAAAAAAGGGTTCAATTTGTAATGAATTGGACGAAGTGGGAGGTTCAAATAAAAAAAAGGCTGGCTAGATATTGTAAGAAGGTAAAATGAGAATATTCATATGTGAATCATTAAAAAAATCTATTTATAAGTGTATATATGAACCTATATGAATAATCTGTAATACTGTAATGTAGGTACATATATGCATCATCAAATAAATTTTCTCCAAAAAATTCAATGGATTCATGTATAAACTTTAACTTCTTACCGGTGTTTAGTCCAAATAAATAAACCCAATCATAGAGCACCAAACATTTGCATGATTCATCTCTTCTAATGAACAAACAAAAAACATCACAAAAGTAAAGATCACACGCCAGAAAGCTTCAAGCACTAGATTTTGGGGTTCCAACATTATGTCATGCTTCATGTTGGGCATGATTTGTAGTAGTCACCTAAATTTCATATTTATTTTATTTAACACACACATATATATATATATATATATATATTAATTTTAATTTCGTTTCTTGAGCACCGTTCGCTACGCTCAACGGTCTCCAATTGGGTCAAGCCGTTAGGACCTACCACCTTTTGTCATCTTCTATTTGGTTTCTTGCTTATGGCTTCCTCTACACTCAAAGCACCGTTCTTCATCTTCACATGTGAACTTTTAATATTTTATACATGTTTAACAGTAATTTATGACTTGTTGCATTGCAATGAAAAAGTAAAAGATTTGTTAATTTTCTTTCATGAAATCTTCCCAACTTTTGGTTCATTTTCCAATTTGTTAACTTGTACTCATAAATCAAAAGAAAATAACAAATTAAACCTAATTCCATTCCACCTTGCAAGTTACTTTATCCACTTTTCTTTGTTTAGATTTTGCTATCATGTTACCAGCTGTAAGTTTTATTGAATTTTGAGTTTGAAAGTTAACCTCTCATGCATTTTTATTTTCTTCCCTTGATGGGTTTTGTTTATTAATAAGGGTTTAATCTCTTTTATAAATATTCCAAACAGAAAAACAAACTTTTATCCAACCAAAGAACAAGAAAATGGAAGAAGAACAGATGGCTTCTAAATAATAAAAGTGTGTTGAAGAAATGAAGTGTCTGCTAATAGTAACACTTAGTTGTTGGGCTGACTCTAAACCAATTATTACTCAAACCTGACAAATTGGAGGCTTCCTACCTTCTTCTTCTTTATTTAATTAGCACTTTAGAGGTAATTAAAACACGATTTCAGGCTTTATCGGCATCTTAATTGAATCTAAGGAGCCTCACTCATCACTTCAATTCCCTCTGCTTTCAGAGTGTACCAAGTTTCCACATACCATTAGCTGGAACCAAATTAACTCAGAAACATCAAAGGTTTGTTAACCTCCTATGGACTCCTTAATCTTCTTCTTATGGCCTTTTATCTATTTTCTGATCACTGAGCATGATTTCCGTTTATGTGGGATCGATATGATAATGACTTCGTGCACCAGCATTATGCATTCACTCATTTCTGGACTGAACATGTTCTATATTGTCAAAACTAGAATTCTTTCTGTTTCGGATGTTTCATGCTGCAGATTGGCTTTGTTTCCTGCTTCCATTCCATAGATTACAGCCTTAAATCCCATTTTCTTGAATTTTTGATTAATTTTCAACTAGTAAACTAGTTTCAGGATGGTTGAGCCTGGAGAAATGACTCAAGATGGAGTATTAGTGGACATCAAACTAAGTGATGCAGAGATTGCTCAATGGGATATGATGCAACAGAGGAGTATAGAGTGCTTAATAAGGAGGAAAAAGTCATTAAGGGTCCGCTATACGTATGGCATTATCTTCTTATTAGTAAATCTTGTAGCTTGGTTTTTGCGTGACTATGGCCAAAGGGTTTCCCTTCACTACCACAGTAAGTTCCTAAAGTTTAATAGATCATCAAACACAATGGTTCAATTGGGTAATTACATCATTTTACATTTCTTCTGCAGTTCTCATCAAAGCTTGTGGACCAAAGGGCCATGACTGTTTCCAAACAATGGGAGTTCTTCGCATCAGTTTGGGATGCTTCGTATCTTACAAGTTCTAAATCAGATGAATTCATAACAATATTGTCTTTTCCGAAGTTACATTTTTGTGGCAGCCTTAATGTACATTTCTAGATATTCTTCTTTATGTTGTTTCTGACCACATGTGGAACAACCAAGTTATTCAACACTCGCGATACTTGGCATTCTGGATGGTGGACTGCAAAGTTTGCCATATTGATGATCATCCAAGTGTTTTCGTTCTTCATCCCCTCAGATTTTGTTCATTTATATGGTATGTCAATCAAATTACAAGAAGCCATATCGCCGATTTTGATGTTCAAGATATCTAGTTGACTAAAATCTCAAGTTTTTGCAGGTGAACTTGCTCGAGTTGGTGCTGGGTAATCTTCTAAATAACATTCTTTCTAGAGGGTTTTAATCTTTTTCATCAAAATCAGTTCTTACCTGAATCTTTGATCCAGAATTTTTCTCCTCCTTCAACTTGTAAGTGTAATCGAGTTTATAGCATGGTGGAATGCTTACTGGATGCCTGTTGAAAGAAAGAAGCAAAGGTTTGACTTTTGATATGCTCTCATCATTCTCATCGTCAAAGTTCATAAGCGTCCAAACAATAGTATGAAAGCCTTTTATGTTTTGCAGCTCCTGTTGTGGATTAGTCATGTCGACACTGTTCTATATGGGCTCTTTTTGTGGGATCATCGTGATGTATGTATGGTATGCATCCAAAGCTTCATGCACTCTAAACATATTCTTCATCACCTGGACATCAATTTTGCTTCTTGTTATGATGGTTATATCCTTGCATTCGAAGGTATATAACATATGTCCTCCATGAAATTCTACAGCCACAATCTTTTTAGTTTTTATCTGAGAATATAATCTAAGTGATTTTAGAGTACTTGATACAGGTGAATAAGGGTCTTTTATCATCAGGGATCATGGCATCTTATATCGTGTACCTCTGTTGGTCTGCTTTAAGAAGGTTTGATATCATTGCATAAAGTTCAGATTAGTACTTCAATCGCTTCTTTTGGGATAGTAACTCTTATGGTTTTCCAGTGAACCTGCGAGCGAAAAATGCAGCCCTGAAAAGCACGAGAACGAGCACGTTGATTGGATAACCGTGCTTGTAAGCAAACACCCTTTATTTTAGACCTCAAACTCAAACTGTGATCCTAGGCATTTACATTGTTATCATTCTTGTGCTTCCAGGGCTTCCTGATAGGGGTTTTTGCCATTGTTATGGCAACGTTTTCAACTGGGATTGATTCAGAAACATTTCAGGTTCTTCCATTTTTATAAAATCTCAAATTTATTTAGTTTGTGAATGATTACTTATGCATAAAATTTTTCTTTCTTTGTTCAGCTTAGGAAACAAGAAGATCAGATGGAGGATGATATCCCCTATAAATATGGATTCTTTCACCTGATATTCTCCTTGGGGGCTATGTATTTTGCTATGCTTTTCATCAGCTGGAATCTTGATAGCTCAACCAGGAAGTAAGATCCAGATGCTTTTTCTTTTCATTAATGATCAAACCTGCACTTATCAAATTAAGATTCAAAAGAAACCCACCCATTTTATGTAATTTTGTGAAACAACAGATGGAGCATTGATGTCGGGTGGGCAAGTACATGGGTGAAAATAGTTAATGAATGGTTTGCAGCCACAATATACTGTAAGTATATATATATATATATATATATGTATATATATATATATATATGTATATATATGCACTTATGATCAAACTCATATTAGCTAGGCCTGTTTCTGGTTATGGTTGCATGCCTTTGACCTCATTCTGTAATTCATGTTGACTATTGAATGCAGTATGGAAATTGATTTCTCCAATTGTCAGACAACCCAAGATCATGAATCATGAAGAACCTCAAGAACAGCAGCTGCATAATTCAGATAGCTAAATGATGCAAAGTCTTGTAAACCCTATTTGTGCCATGTTATATTCTAGTTAGTTCATTGCTATTGATATAGTTGTTAAATAAGAACAATCTTGATCAAGTTCTGATAGCTATTTAGCTGGTGGGTTGACCTAATAAATGTATTTATTTTATTAAATACAAGAATGAAATTGAAATCTTTTATTATAAAGGGATGAATCAAACTATTCATATCTATGGTTTAGTTAGAACCACTACAACATGGAAAATAAATGGTTTAGATGGATTTGCATTTTGCAGGTTAAATAATGTCAAAGAAACCCTACAAAACCTGTTCCAAGAAACAACACCTATTCCATCTTCTTCATATGCTTCTTTATGTAGAATTACTTGGTATTTAAACAGCATCTCCATACCTCCATAACCATCCAAACAACAAGCTTAGTTCTCTCTCTTTTTGATCACTCACTCTCATACAACTTTCAAGATGTTGAAGAATTGTTTATTGTTCATCTTCTCGATGCTCATTCTGCAAATGGGAATCTGGAATATTGTAAAGGCCGTGGATCCATCATCGGCAGCAGAAGGAGAACATGTTTTCGAGCTCTACCTACATGATATCCTTGGTGGTAGCAACCCAACAGCTAGACCGGTAACAGGTCTTCTAGGAAACATATATAGTGGTCAAGTACCCTTCGCAAGACGCATAGGTTTCCGAGCTCCACAAGGTGGTGTAGCGATTCCTAACGCCAATGGTGCCATCCCTACTGTAAACGCCAACGGAATCCCACTCGGAACCGGTTTAGTTGGCACCCAATACGCCGGAAACCTGAACCAAAACAACAATGGTCAAAATCAGATCGCCGCCCAACTGGGACCAGACGGACTTGGGCTTGGGTTCGGGACCATAACAGTGATCGATGACGTATTGACCGTCGACCCAAAGTTGGGTTCACAGTCATTAGGTAAAGCACAAGGGGTTTATGTTTCAAGCTCGGCGGATGGAAGTAGACAGATGATGACATTCACGGCGATGATGGAAGGAGGTGAATATGGAGATAGTATCAATTTCTTTGGAGTTTATCATATCGGAAGCGCAATGTCTCGGTTGTCGGTGACAGGTGGCACCGGAAAGTTTCTGCATGCTTGTGGGTTCGCTGAGGTTCGGTCCCTTATTCCGGCGGGTCAGATCGTCGCCGATGGTGTGGAGTCGCTGCTGAGGCTGACTGTTCATCTTTCCTACTGATAAATGAAGAAAAGTTTGGCAATTTATGTGTGTGGGTTTGTATGTATTCTCCATTTGTATCATTGTTTCCATAATTGAAGGATTTATGTTTCTTAAGATTTGCTAAACTTCATGGGTCTGAAAACACAAATCGCAATTAAGGCAGTGTTTTTTGGATATTTTTTTTATCTTAAATTAAACAAACACCCGATTTGCATGGAGACACGTATCTAATGAGACCAAATCGTTATTTAAAATTTAATTAAATAACATAAATTGCCAATTTTAAAAAACAAGATATGATCCTTAATTCAAATGAACTTTTTTTGAAAGGCAAGAAGGGGAAGAGAAGGCATCGAGGGATTTGTGAGAAACGAAAAACCGTTCTAAGACCCATAGAGAAATCGAAATAAAAGAGGATTACAAACATACAAAATCAACAACAAACTATAACCAAAACAATAATCAAAGTTGAAAGGAGAACCCTCAAACTACTGTCCCAAAAAGAGTGCATAACCAATAAACCGAAAAAATTGATAAAGAATTGCATCATGAGAAAATCGATTGAAAGATTAGAATTGGATGTCATCCAAGAGGTCAAAGGTTGAATTGACCCCTTTAAAGACTTGGAGAGTTTCTAAATCTCCAAAGAAAATAAGCCGCATGCCCTTTAACGAATCAGAGATCCATCTTCCTCCATCAAAGTTGAGCAGCTCGTGCATGGTGTGTTTACAGCAGAGCAAGCAATGTTCCACTGATGTAATATGATCTCTACATACCAGACAGAGAATCTAGTATAGATCGATACCTTTGTTGTTAAGCTCTTAAAGGACAAGAATTCCATTTTGAAGCACCCTCCAAATAAATATATCAAATTATAGCCGTAGATAAAGAAAAAAAAATCAAGTAAAACAATACCTGACCTTACACTAATAGTTTGTTGGTTCTCATAGTTATCACTTTATAATATATGAGGTTTTTAACCCCAATAATTAAAATATCATAAAAAATAAAAATAGTTAAAAGAAAAGAAAGAATAGAGGAACACTTTATGCTTAAATTGATATACAAGAAAAAGGTCATGTCTTTATTGGGTTTGCTTCCTTTCTAAATCAACACAAATAAGTATATTTAAATTCACACTATAACTTGAAGGTATGAAAGTGGAATTACCACTCGATTTGAGAATGTGGACGGACAATTCACAGCAACAGCATCGTCACTACATCCCTTCACGACGGCCGGCCGCCACCACCACCACCACCAGTTATAAACAAAGAAACAAGCTGTAGAAATACATAGGCGTTTTCTTCGATTCTGTAAACACATTCAAGAAATTCAAGATTCAATCTTTGGTGTTTATTTCGCTAGGAAATGCAAAACCCAACACAATCATCATCCACCACCACTCTCTACACCATCGTAACCATCACCACCCTCATCTTTCTCCTCTTTTTCTTTTCCCCATTTCCCTCCCCACCGCCACCGCCATCTTTCTCCGACCCATACCTCTTTCCTCACCGTCTATCCACCACCCAATATCACAACCACCAACTCCTCTTCCTCAACAGCAACAAAACCACCAATCAATCTCCTCCTGCCTCGCCTACCATCGCCTATTTCATTACCGGATCCTTCAACGATTCGAATCGGATTATCCGACTTCTTTTGTCTATCTACCATCCAAGAAACCAATACCTTCTTCATCTTGACCGTTCTGCCCCTCAAAAAGAACGTGACCTTTTAGCCCTCTCCGTTCAATCAATTCCGGTTTTTTGGGCCGCCCAAAATGTTAATGTTATTGGGAAAGCTGATCTTGTTTCCCCTAAAGGATCTTCTTCTATTTCTTCCACTTTACATGGTGTTGCTATTCTCTTGAAGCTTTCCCCTGATTGGGATTGGGTTATAAATCTCTCTGCTGCTGATTACCCCCTTGTTACTCAAGATGGTAATTCTTGAATTTTGAGTATTTGTCATACTGATTTGGTTGAGCATATATATATATATTGATCAAATAATTTGTTTCTGACTGTTGAATATCATTGTTCTAGGGTTTATCTTTTAGAAGTAACTTAACCTAGCATTGGTTCTGTATCATCTCTTGGTGGGCTTTTGTCTGTTTCTAGTAAAATTGCAAATTAGTTATCTGGGCTGATTATACTTCACTTCTTGTTCACATTTCTTCACAAAAATCCATCTTGCGTTGATTTAATGTTGTGGTTTTGTTGTTCTCAGAGTTCCTTCGTAGAATCTTGATTAAGCATTGGTTTGCTTCTATATGTTCTTAGATCCCCAAATGAGTTCCATTTTAGACCTATCCTAGCTAGTGTGGATTAAGTATTCTTCTTGTGGTTGCTTTGCAAGTCCTATTAACAGATTGTATAATTTTTGCAGAAGTATCGTTTTTTGCGCTGACCTGATTTGTCGGTCTTGTTTGTGTTTGTTTGCAATGATTTAGTTTTGCCAATTCTGGGCATTTGTTGGAATGGAAGTTCCTTCACAAATAAATTGGTCTATTTCGTTAGTTTTAGGAGTTCTAAATGCTCTTTTGTTTTGCTTCATAAACTACCGAACTAGTATTTATCTTGGGTTTTTTGTTTGTTTTCCAGATCTTCTTCATATTCTATCAACAGATTGTATAATTTTGTGCAGAAGTATCGTTTTTTGTGCTGATCTGATTTGTCGGTCTTGTTTGTGTTTGTTTGCAATGATTTAGTTTTGCCAATTGTGGGTATTTGTTGGATTGGAAGTTCCTTCACAAATAAATTGGTCTATTTGTTAGTTTTAGGAGTTCTAAATGCTCTTTTGTTTTGCTTCATAAACTACTGAACAAGTATTTATCTTGGGGTTTTTGTTTGTTTTCCAGATCTTCTTCATATTCTATCATACCTACCTAAAGATCTCAACTTTGTGAATCACACAAGCTACATTGGCTGGAGAGAGTATGGCAATGTTTACTTTTACCTAATTTTTAATGGGCATTGGAGTAGCTATTGTGGAGTTTGATAATATGTATTTTCGTTGTTTACAGGTCACGGATTTTGAAACCTGTGGTGGTTGACCCTGGGCTTTTTCTTGCTGAGCAGAGTGAGATCTTTTATGGCACCCAAAGACGCCCATTGCCAGATGCTTACCGGTTGTTCACAGGTAAGTCTTCAGTGCTACCAATTTACAACTATATTGCCTTGCTATTAGTTTCATTTACCTGAAATCTTTCTTATATCCAATGGGGTTTACAAGATATGAGCTTTTTTGCTCATGAGAAATACATTCTCAATATCAAAATGATGGAACTACTAATCAAGAATAGTTGCTATGACGATAAAAATACAAACAAATATTATGTTAACCACAAGAAAGCACGTCTCCTCATAGTCAATGTTGTATACCTGAAAATGGTTTTTTGCCAAATGATAGATTGTATAGGCAATGGAGAGAGCCTCCATGACCATGTAATGAAGCTTTAAGTGAATACCCATTTGCATCCAATAAATAAAACACACTTTATAGAAGGAAGATGCGCCAAAACTTTACCCATTTTTGAAGTTTTTAGAAGGAAATCAAACACAGAGAAACATAAATTTGTGATACATATATATATATATATATTTATATTTATATATAGGAGATTTACTTTGCAAACCACATTATTTGTACAAACCTCATTTAACCAATCATAATTTTTCATTTTGTTAGTTTTTTTGTAATTGTGAGAGGTTGATTAATCATTTTTATTATGGAGGGTGTTAATCATGGATATTATCATCTTTATTATATTAATTTTAGAGAAATACATGAAACGGTTTCATTAACAATACATGAAACAGTTTCATTAAAATTTCATAAGTATTATATGAAACAATTTCGAAACAACTTCATCAAAAAAAAAAAAAAAATACTATATGAAACAATTTCATTTGATTAAACAATGAAATTGACGGATGAGGGTCGTTTGCACGGTTTGTACGAATATGGGTGGTTTACATTTGATCGCTCATCTATAACATACGTACATATATATATATATATATACACATGCATATATACATATATATATATATATATACATGCATATATATATATATATATATATACACACATGCATATATATATACACACATATATATATAGGGGAGCGATCAAATGCAAACCACTCAATTTGTACAAACCGTGCAAACCGCATTCAACCAATCATAATTTTTCATTTTGTTCATTTTTTTGTAATTATGAGAGGTTGATTAATCATTTTTATTGTGGAGGGTGTTAATCATAGATATTATCATATTCATAATTTTAATTTTAGAGAAATACATGAAACAGTTTCATTAATGTTAGACAAATACATGAAACAGTTTCATTAAGTATTATATGAAACAATTTCACAACCATATATGAAACAACTTCATCAAAAAAAGTATTATATGAAACAATTTCACAAGATTAAATAATTTCATGAAAAAATTTCATAAGATTAAACAATGAAATCGACAGATGAAGGTGGTTTGCACGGTTTACACAAATGAGGACGGTTTTCATATGATCACTCCTCTATATATATACACATATATATATATATATATATATATATTTATACGGTCATGTTCGGGGGAAAACTACAAAAAAATTGAAAAATGAGGAACACTTTGGTAACCGTTCGTTTGGACTGGATGCACATGTGCAACATGTAATTTGTAAGCAATTTGTCCGGTATGCACATGTGCATAGAAACCAAGAAACAACTTCAATGACTTGTATGCACATGTGTGTACCGTCCAGATGAATGGTTATGAGGGTGTTTCTTTGTTTTATGTTTTTTGGGGGTTTTTCCATGAACCCCCCTCTCTCTCTCTCTCTCTCTATATATATATATATATATATATATATATGCAAAATTACATTTTTGTAAATAGAAAAGTAACAATTGTTTAATGTTTATGTTCGTGCAGGTTCACCATCGGCTATATTGAGCCGCAGGTTTGTGGAGTTTTGCATCTTAGGAACAGAAAACTTACCCAGGACCCTGCTTATGTACTTGTCTAACAGTCTTTCATCCCAATCTGTATACTTCCCGACTGTTCTATGTAATTCTCCTCAACTAAATAGAACGGTTATAAACCACAATTTGCAATATTCTGCATACAAGACCAAACATGAACCTCGCACACTCCACTCAGACGACTTGGATGATCTAATCAACAGTGGTTCAGCATTTGGTTCTCCATTTGTTCATGATGATCCAGTTCTGGACCGCATCGACCAAGAACTACTGAAGCGTGGTGAGGGGAAACCAGTTCCAGGTGGGTGGTGTTTAGGTGAGTCTAGGGATGAGGCGTGTAGTATATGGGGTGATGCTGATGTTTTGAAGCCAGGTCCAGGAGCCAAAAGGCTGGAGCAAAGAATGGTTGAGTTACTCTCAAATGAGACATTTTATTCCCATCAATGCATTTTTGAATGATGATGTGTTTTGCCCAATTGAGTGGATTTTTACAGATGAAATTTGTTGTATATTGGTATTTGCATCAATCAAGTTTAGTTGCATGCTGTTAAAGGGGTATGGCTTCATATCCATTTATTCCAGCAACCATATCTTAATCTTCTCATGTCCAGATGAGACTGCAAGGTTTTAAGGTTTAAATTTGATAATGTGTAGTTTCTGTAAGTTATTAACGACCTTACTAAAAAATGCTTTGTTTATTACAGAATAATATACGCATCCCGTTTTACTCATACAAAATGTAAAACTAATCAAACACATCCTTAACTTTAAGTATTTATAGTTTTGTTATATGATGAAACATTGGTTTGAATTTTTCAATTAATAAACTTGATAATTAAAAATGCAACAGATGTATAATTTGATTGATTAGAATGTATATATATATATATATATATATATATATATAAAACATCAACATCAAAATGATAAATACTTTGTAGCAACTTTTTGAATTACAATCCTAGTAAAAAAAAAAAAGGAGTTGAAAAGTCAAAATATGACTTCATTTTGTTCGTACAAGGATATTTTATTATTTAAGAAGTCGAGAAGAAATAAGACGCGTGATTGACGGTGCATTGAGGACTAATGTGTACGTGTCAGCTTCCAATTGGGTAAGTGGTAGCGAGGCTAATCTTTTCCTAAATTATACAATCACACCCTCATCAATATCTTTAATGGACGTTTTCACCATACTACTTTACTTGATCATAAATATTAACACTCGGGTTGGGTTTTGTTGACAAACATAAGAAATATATTTATCCTTGAATCAATCTTGATTGAATGTCAACGTTAAGAAGATGCATTAAAATTTACTAGATCAATTCTTTTCTAAAACACAATTTATAAGTGAACATGAGATTAAAGGTAATCAAGAGTTCGGATCCCTTCTTACATTTCTCACCATAATTTTCATTCTCAAACAATCTTTCGCTTATGTTGTGTTATCTTAATTATATTGAAATAAATTGACCAAACTACACTTATTGTCCTTTAGGTTTACATAAAACTCAAAAAGTGGTCTCTAAACTTTAATAAATCTATAATATAACGTGTGCATTAGATTTTGAAGATAGTCTCTAATACTAATTCCGTTAAAAGATGTCCATTAAGTTGGGGGATAAAAGTTTTTTTTTTCTTCTTAAAATCCAAACAATGCCTTAGATACACATAGTTGGCGGTTGGTTTTGAATATTATCCGAGGCCTTTTGCAAGAAACATGTGAAGGGATGACCAAGTTAATTGGCTTTATCCGTTGTGGATTAGTTTAAGTGACAATAAGGTTTTGATATTTAGGAACTTTCCCTAGAGATCACCGGTTCAAATCTTGCAAGACCACTGAAGATTTTTTTTTAATTGTTATGTAGCACTCCTTGAATTAATCGAGATGTATGAAAGTTGATCCAGACACCATAGTTAAAAAAAAAAAGAAAGTTATTTGATCTTGTGATTTATTTATGGTAGTCACACCTATTCACTTGTGTTTGTGGGTTGTGATTTATACAAGGGGGGGATGCATCTCGAGGTTTTCGTCTTTTTCTGTGAAATATTTCACAATTATGTTTGTATTTTGTTTTAAGAGTGAATTACATTTTATAGAATGTATTGGAAAAATGAGGTTGATGGAAGAGAGTAGTTTTAGTTTAGATTGTGAAACATAAAAAATGGATCATTTTATGAATTAATTATACACCAAAAAATTTAATTTTAATAACTTTATCGTATCAATTTAAATCATTTATTTATTTAGTACAAATCTTCAATAATAGTTGAAGCGATTAACATTTTCTTTATTTATTTTAATAAACTATTTCTTGTTAACTTGATGCCGTATTGGGTACAGTAGTGGACATGATGTGGGCTTGGAAGTTTGGGCCATATGAATCTATTCATTCATTGGGGTTTCCAGCCCAGGCCCAGCTTAACAAGTGCATTGTGTGGATTGTGGAATACCAAAAATTAAAAAGACAACCTAAAAGCAATATGATACAAAAAGAGTGTAGCTTGATTGGTAAAAGGTGAAGCGATTTTTCTTAAATACAAGACATTTTTAGAACTCTTTTTTGGTGTTAGTCTCAACCGTCGAGTGAGCCAAAATGTGTCCTCTTATGGTGGTGACCTTAGAGATGCCGACGGGTTCCGGTTAGAATTGTAGGTAATCAACTTTTTGCCTAAATATGATACAAAACAACCATTTAGATTATATTTAATGAGTGTAGTCCATATCTTACGGTTTACGGAACGACTACTTAATATCTATAAGTTTCTTGATTATCATAGATTTTGATTATAAGAATATTGACATTCCACATACTTTATTTAATACTTTGGAAAGAAGCATAAGAGTAGAAGAATTCTATTGACTATCATTTATTTAGACTTGTCATTAACGAAAATAACAATAACAGTTAAATCGAATGTAGAGTGGGAGTAGCACTAACCTCCAATACCAACCCTATCCATCAAATAGACGAATGGTATCAATAGACGTTCCTTTTTACTTCTTTATAATAAGAATTTTTTTTATTAAAAAAAAAAATTGAAGCCGTCAAAACATCACTTACAAAAAGATGAACCAAGCCCAATAATTTACATCTTTCCACTCTTAACCTTTCTTAGTTTTTATCTTTTCAAAAAGTTATATATTATTATTATTATTATATAAAAAAAAGAATAATAAGATGGCATAGGTCTTTGTTACTCGAAGTTGATTAGTATAATGAAGAATTAGTAGTGATTTTTTGTGCACCGTATTCCTCTAGTTGTAGATGCTTGGCGCGTCAGCAGTGATGCCATCCATGCTCATTTTTTAATTAGTTGTACTCCAGATGGGCTAATCCACTTTTATTACTCCCAAAATAAACATATATATATATATATATAAACCTTTTAATTATGAAATCTTTAAAAATCAATACTTATTTTATATGATTTTTTATCTTTTTATTATAAAATAAATATATTAAATATTATACTTAAATTAAAAAAAAAGTATGTAAAACAAAAGGTTTTTCAAAGATCCAAACACTGTTTTATTGAATATTTGGTAGGGTGGTTGTTTTATAATAATTTTTTCTTCATTAGTTTAATTATTAATAAAATAAAATAATAATAAGAGGAGGAAGATGCGGTGAAGGAAGAAATAGAGATGGTGTTCACACGCTGCATGTGATTGTACCTTGAAACTAGTAAATTAAAGTTGATGGGGTTACTTACACCAATCTAATGTCATTTGGACTTTAACTCATCACAACTTTACTTTTTATTTCCTTTTCGAAGAAAAAAAAAACATATATATATAAATGATCATGTAAGAATAATAATTATAACACATATTGTATTTAAAAAAAAGCTTCAGATTGATCAATTCTCATATTATTATCGTTGTGGTCATAAAATTAGTAGTATATGTGAATAAAAAAAATACAATATTTAGTTTAGTAAACATATATATATATATATATATATATATATTAAATATAAAGTGTTACCAAATATGTGTTTAATAAAAGCAAAGTGGCATAAGTATATGAGTAATGAGATTGGCAGAGCCCACCAATACACATTTATAAATTTCAACCTCGATATTATTAGTGCTCTGACTCTCACATTAACTTTGAATCAAACTCATCATTATCAAATCCTAATTTTTTATTCAATAATTATTGGTTTCATTTTTTTTATTTTTTTATTATATATATTATTGTTCTTTATAAATTTTGTTGATTGCATTTGGTCAATCAGATTTAGATTAATGACATGATTAATATTGATATTTAGATCAAAATCTTGTATCTAAAACCAAGATTGTTGAGCATGAATGACAAGACATAATTCTGATTTAGGTGCAAAAAAGAAAAACGACACCGTTGTCATAAATACCACCTTTCACCATCAACCGGTATATGGAGCTCTCACCACCCCATCCCACCCAAATAAAACCGTCACAATCCAATTAATTGTACATCTCATTTGTCTTAAAACCTAACAATTAATATTTAGAAAAAAAATCTACACTAAATTATTCGATGTTGAAAATATGATAACAATTATAAATTGTCAATAGAAAATTAATTCTGAAATTGATGTTAAGAGTAAGATCATAACATCTACATACACACCCCCATATATACACATACATATATGCATAAAGTACTGAATTGATTATAAAAATTGACGTACTGTTATCATTATCATATATTTTAAGCTTTCAATTAAAAGGTTGGGAGTGGATATATTATGTTATTTTGCTTAAGTTGATGGTTGAATATTTTTAATGAAACAAATTTTTATTGAAAAATATATAAGCCTGCTTGTTATCCACACCAAAATAAATTGAGTTTTTTATAAAAACATATTATTAAAAGATGACCTCCTACAGATAATCTCGTCGGATTAAAATAAGTAAATAAACCCCGTAAAATCTTATTTATATTAATAATTCATAACCATTGGCAATAAACAAACTTGTGAATAGACACTGACTCAAATTTATTTAGAAAATTTTTTACACAACATATTAATTTTGGTTGGAAAGGAAAGGACTTCCAACTTTTCTTGCTCAAAAGAATTCTCCCAACTTTCTCAACCACTGAAAAGAGAGCAAATTTTAGATATATATATATATATATATATATATATATATATATATATATATTAGAGAGGGGGCGAGGGGTGAGGGGCGAGGGGTGAGGGTGGTGATTCATTGCATGCTTTGTCGGCCATTGTAGCTTCAATTCAAGAGTTCTAAACCCATAGTATTTATCTTGAAAAATCAAAAGGTTACATCTTTAGCTTCGTAATTCCAACTACAACAGACATGGCTGTGTTGTTTTGCTTTCTCTCTTTCAGTACCCCAAAATCAATTATCATTTAATATTTAATAATCCCCTTCACACCCCCCCAAACCAAAAGCCTTTTTGATTCATTGCATTTGATTTGATTTCATTTCTTTTGAGGGTTCAAAAGGACTTGTTCTTTTACCACCATGGATCTTTCTCCTTTCCTTCTGAAATGGGCCTTTTAGACTCCAAGATCCCACCATTCTTGGAAACACATACGTATATACTTCAACTCCATGAACTTCTTTCTAGAATCATCTCAAGGGATTACTTGAATTCCCTGATTCTGTGTGCAAGATTTTGATTGCTCTAAGCTACATAAACCCTACAGGTATGTATGTATCTATGTATGCATGTAGATCCTTCATACCCTTTTTTATTGTTGAATGTTTTGTTTGCTCAAGTCAATTGGGATATGTTAGCTACTTTTTGTTCGTTTTTGAGGTAATATAGAAATACCTATCTAGATTTCTTGAATCTTTAATCTGTTTAAATTCTTGTTTTGGACTATTCACTTGTTTGATCGATCGAAAATGACAAATTTATTCCCCCTTTTTCTGGGTTTCTTTTCTTTAAGATGCTTCTTCAAGTTTTGTACTTTTTCAAGAAAGACAAAGTTTTGCTGGATTTCCTTCTTGATACGGCTTGCGCTCTTTTGGTTTCTTATCTTCTTAATGATATGCAGATTGAAATTTTGGTTCTTGGGAGATGATAATACTCTAGACTTTGATATCAAGATTATAAATTTCATTCACTGGGAAGCAAGATTCCAGCAATGTCCAAAGTTTTTGGATCAAGAAAAGGCTTGTTGTTGGTGGGTATCATAAGAATTTTAGTTGCTGTTTTTCTGATTTTCCCTTGCAAAGGATTGAATTCAGATGGGAAATTTCTTTTGGAATTGAAGAAAAGTATTAAGGATGACTTGGGGAATCTAAAGAATTGGAATGCATATCATACCACACCTTGTGGATGGATGGGTGTGAGTTGCACCTCTGGTTACGGCCCAGTGGTTTGGTCTCTTGATCTGAGTTCAATGAATCTTTCAGGAACCCTAACCCCAAGTATAGGTGGTTTGCTTTCTTTAACATATCTTAATCTTTCTTTTAACAAGTTTGCTGGTAACATACCCAAAGAAATTGGGAATTGTTCGAAACTAGAAATGCTTATTTTGAACAGTAATCAATTTGATGGGAACATCCCAGATGAGATAGGAAAGCTTAATCATTTAAGCCATTTGAACATATGCAATAACAAGATTTCTGGTTCAATCCCTGAAACTTTTGGTCAGCTTTCTTCTTTGGTTGAATTTGTGGCGTACACAAATAATATCAAGGGATCACTCCCGCGGTCTCTTGGAAACCTCAAGAATTTGACCACATTTAGAGCCGGTCAGAATGCTATGACCGGAAGTATACCTGTAGAGATCGGTGGTTGTGAGAGCTTACTATACTTCGGTGTTGCCCAGAATAACTTTGATGGAGATATACCAAAGGAATTCGGGTTGTTAAAGATGATGACTGATCTAATTCTTTGGAATAATCAGTTATCAGGAATCATCCCGAGAGAGCTTGGAAACTGTACTCATTTGGAGACTCTGGCTTTGTACCAAAATAATCTTGTTGGTGAAATCCCGAAAGAGATTGGGAAACTCAAGTACTTAAAGAAGTTATATTTGTACAGAAACGGATTGAATGGAACGATTCCTAGAGAGATTGGTAATCTTTCTTTAGCTACAGAGATTGATTTCTCAGAGAATTATTTGACCGGAGAAATCCCTACTGAATTGTGTCAAATAGAAGGCCTTACTTTACTCTACTTGTTTGAAAACCAGCTTCATGGTGTCATCCCGAATGAACTTGGTAACTTGAGGAACCTGTCGAAGCTCGATCTTTCCATAAATTCGCTCACAGGCCCAATTCCTATTGGTTTTCAGTATCTACCCAAGATGTATCAGTTGCAGCTCTTTAGCAATTCGTTAAATGGCAGCATTCCGCAAGAGCTTGGGCTCTACAACAAGCTTTGGGTGGTTGACTTTTCGGACAATTTCTTGACCGGAAAGATCCCACCTCATACCTGTAGGCGTGGTAACTTGATGTTACTGAATCTTGAATCGAACAATCTGTATGGAAATATCCCGACTGGAATTATTAACTGCAAATCGCTGGTTCAACTTCGGCTCAGTGGTAACAAGATTACAGGCAGCTTTCCTTCATCGTTGTGCAATTTGGCGAACCTATCTGCTATCGAGTTGGGTCAAAACAGGTTCAGTGGTCCGGTTCCTCCCGAGATTGGGAACTGTCAAAAGTTACAAAGGCTCGATCTTTCTGGGAATTACATCTCGTCCGAGTTGCCTAATGAGATACAGAAACTGACTCATTTGGTGACGTTTAATATTTCTTCGAATTTGATCACCGGAAGGATACCGAGTGGGATTCTTCATTGCAAGATGCTTCAAAGACTCGATCTCAGCAGGAACAGCTTTGCGTACGATATACCGCCCGAGCTTGGTTCCCTTTCTCAACTTGAACTTCTGATGATTTCGGAAAACAAGCTCTCGGGCAGCATACCAGCTGCCCTCGGAAATCTCTCTCGTTTGACTGAGTTGCAGATGGGCGGTAATGTCATCTCCGGTGGTATCCCACCGGAGCTGGGATTGCTTACGAGCTTGCAGATTGCCCTGAATCTCAGTCATAATAATCTCTCTGGCACAATCCCACCTCAGCTCGGGAATCTCATATTGCTCGAGAATCTTCTGCTCAATAACAATCATTTAAGTGGCGAAATCCCGAGCACATTTGGAAATCTGTCGAGTTTGATGGGCTGCAACTTCTCGTACAATATTCTTAAAGGCACGTTGCCTTCCGTACCCTTGTTTCAGAACATGGCTATCAGCAGCTTCATTGGTAACGATGGGCTTTGTGGCGGTCCGCTAGCAAGCTGTGAAGGATCTTTCATTTCCGGTTCAGCTCCACCTTCTTTGGAGAGTGCCGATGCTCCTCGGGGCAAAGTAGTTACGATAATCGCAGCTGTCGTAGGCGGGATTTCTCTTATTCTGATCGTAGTTATCTTATATTTCATGAAAAAAGGCGCTACACAAAACGTCACTTCGTTGGAGGACGATACCGAAAGATCTTCCCCGGTATCATCAGATGTCTACTTCCCACCACAAGACGGTTTCAAGTTCCAAGATTTGGTCGAAGCCACCCACAACTTCCATGACAGTTATGTTATCGGAAGAGGAGCCGTGGGGACGGTTTACAAGGCCGTCATGCAGTCTGGTCAAACGATTGCTGTCAAGAAGCTTGCTTCTAATCGAGAAGGCAGCAACATCGAGAACAGTTTTCAAGCGGAAATCTCGACTCTAGGAAAGATCAGGCATCGTAACATTGTGAAGCTTTACGGCTACTGCTATTATCAGGGCTTTAATCTGCTTCTTTACGAGTATATGGCAAAGGGTAGTTTGGGTGAATTGCTTCACAACGGTTCGTCTTGCGGCTTGGATTGGCCGGCTCGATTCACCGTGGCTCTTGGGGCAGCTCAAGGTCTTGCTTATTTGCACCATGACTGCAAACCAAGAATCATTCATCGCGACATTAAGTCCAACAACATCTTACTTGACGAGAACGCTGAAGCTCATGTCGGTGATTTCGGTTTGGCCAAGGTTATAGACATGCCTCAGTCTAAATCCATGTCTGCCGTTGCCGGTTCCTATGGCTACATAGCTCCAGGTGAGCTCACGAATCTTCAATAGAACCGACTATTCATGCTTAATTCATAATGAATGTCGTGAGATATTCATTGAAGTTTTTTATATATTTATGGTTTTGGTGTGTTTAATTTGTGGCAGAATATGCATATACTATGAAGGTAACAGAGAAGTGTGATATATACAGCTATGGGGTTGTTCTTTTAGAACTGGTAACAGGAAGAGCCCCAGTACAGCCATTAGATCAGGGAGGGGATCTGGTTACATGGGTAAGGAGTTATATTCGAAAGCATTCATTTAGTGTCGGGATTCTTGATAGTCGTTTGGATATACAAGGTAATGAACGTGTGGCGAACCATATGCTTTGTATCCTGAAAGTTGCTATAATGTGCACGAAAATGTCGCCTTTTGATCGGCCATCCATGAGAGACGTTGTGTTGATGCTGATCGAATCAAATGAAAGAGCCGGGTATTCGCTAGATGATGATGAGGATCCTTGTTCAAAAGATGAATTCTTGTGAATGTATGTATCAGTTTACTTGCTATTTTAACCAATATGATGACGATGACGATGATTCTTATTTTCCTGATTCTTCTTCTTGTGGCTAATTAACACTATTTGATGAGAACGATCATGAATGTATATACATATCTTTCTCTTGTATCAATTTCAAGATTGTTTATACAATCCATTACTTGGTACGGATCAAGAGGCAACATATAGATTCTAAACAAGACTTGAGAGGCTTTTGAGTTTCACTTGGAAGCTTCGTTTCCCCTGGCGCTTCTCTTCATAAAATCGATCTCCAGACCACCATTACCATTATGGGACACGGCCCCATTAAAACCCGTCATAAAGCACCATCCAATGATCCCGGGTTCTAATTAGCTTACACAAAATGTACATTCCACACATCCTCATATTGTTGTCTTATGAATCTAATTACCAGACTAAAATCACCAACAAAATTCAAATTTAGTGTCATTTGAGGAATGTTATATGCAACTTGCATAGATTGGAACAAAAGTCAAAAGAATGAAGTCAAACATTCTTGAACTGGTACTCAGCTAGGAGTAGTTGCACCTGCAAGAGAGAGAGAGAGAGATTAGATTAAAAATGGAAGGAAACATGGCTGTCTGCAACTCAAAGGGGCATGCTTTCTTTGGTTTTATAGATGAAAGGGGGCGCTGATGGAATGTACAAAAATAAGATTCAAGAAATCTTAAAAATGCTCATCTTCTCTCCATCATTTGAATAAAAACAGATGCATCATCCAAGGAGGAAAAAAAATCCCCTTTATGGTCACGGAGGTTCAAATGCGGTGACTCCAGACTATCTACAAAACATATGGTCGTCCTGTAATTAAATATCGAGGTTAATAAAAAAAACAGATGCATCATCAAAATGTGGAAGAACCCAAAAAGGTTTTTTCATACGTAAATTGTGTTGATGGGCCTTGCACCATCTCATTCTGGTTTGTAGAAAGTTTCTACTATCAAGCATTAAAAATCCACTGGATTATTTTAAATATTTCTATAATATGGATCTAATTTTATTACAAATAGGGTACTAAATAATCAATGTAATATAAAATAAAACAAAATTTTAATTATAAAAACTAAAATATGAGTTTCGTTAAACCAAAAAAAAAGTTAAAAGACAGTGAGATAGATTCAAAACTTGCAACCTTTATGTCACATGGCTAGACTCGATATTTTATCTTTAAATATATGTTGAAAAAGTAATCTAATGGGATTTCACATATTTTCACATGATAACAAAGCCGACACCTACTATCTGGGACATCTTTGCCTATCTAGTCCTTGGAGATGTGTTAAAGTCCCACATCGGCTAGAGTGGACATTTTATGTCTTCAATGACTCTTTTGGAAAGTAATCTACTAAGGTTCCACATATATTAGCTGGAGACCGACTCTCTAGGACATCTTTGTTGGAAATATTAGTGAGGTTGGAGGTTTTCCTCCATCCCATATTGGTAGGAAGAAAGAATAAATGTAAAGAGCATAAGGTTTTTCTTTTAATTGGGCTTTGAATAAGTTGATGGATCATGGTGGGGATCATGAGTGAAATGTCCAACACATGGGCATGAGTTTCTCAAAAGTGGCTAGGATTTGCACTTTGCATGTACAAATTATAAATTGTTAATTATCTGTTTGGATTTAAGCAGATTAAAAATTGGTTTTTAAACTCTAAACATGTTTTTTTTTATCAAAGATAAATTTATAGTGTTAGAGAATAAATATTGGGTTAAACCTCTCCCAAAAATCACATCGAAAATTTGCTACCTTTCTCCCTTGCTTTCTGCTTCATAATGTCGTCTTCTTCCTACATGTTTTTTTGCATCGACTTTGTTTTTAATTTCGTTATCAAAGCTGTTGATAAACAAAATACGTTACTACATCAAATTCTAAGGCTTTGTGACTAGAAGACTCACAACTTAATAGTGTAGTCGTATAAAACCTTCAAGGACATGTTTATACCATGCAATTCTCGCTTCAACATTATTTCAAACAGGTTGGTTTTTAATTTTCGTGTATTGCATTTTGCTTTTCCCTTCACTAAGTGGACAACTATGTTTCTACTCCTTTCTCTTATTGAATCTATTGTGGAGGACAGATTCAATCACTGTGGTAGTAATTGGTTTGGGTTTTTCCGGATAATAAAGTTGCCATCTTGAATGATAAAGTTTTGAACTTTATTGTTTGATTTATCTTTTGAATATTAAAGATTAAAACTTTATTGTTTTTATCTCATCGTTATTTTTCTCAACAATCTTTGCCCGTCTAACCTCCGTGCGTGTTAAAATCTCATATCAACTAGACTTTGACACTTTATAGGACTCTTATGGAAACTAATCTGATAGGATTTCACATATTTTTCGTTAACATATCAATAGACTTCAAACACTTTTTGTTAACATAGAGAAGCAGACATCAAAATTAAAAGCATATATATGCATTCCTAAAAAGAGTTGGACTACATCAGCATGATAGAGCGGTTGCACGTGCATCCATTCTAGCCTCCTTAAATTCACCCTTGGACCCATGTATGGTTAACTAGACTCGCAAAGCTAGTGAAATGTAAATCAACCCCATGTGGATAAACGTAAATTATCCCACAAAATCTTAATGGATAAAACCCATTACCATTAGCATCAATAAACAGCACCATGAAAGGATCGTTCATAAGAAACCTGATCCATTAATAGATATACATGTGTATGTGTGTCGAGAGTCCCATCAACACAAAAAAAAAAAAAAAAAAAGTCAAAATATGAAACAAATTAAGCAAGACGACAAGCACATTAAAAAAAATCTTGGAAAATGATGAATTGTGTGGTGTAAAAAACAAGTTGAAATGCTTTTGGATTTTGGGATGAAAAGGCAACATCAGATAATATAATCATATGTGATTTGAAGACCAAAAAAAGGGAAGATGATATATATCTAATTAAATACTCTATCTTCCAAATCCTGGAAACCATCAATATGTTGGCCAACTTGTTAAAGCCATTTCCATTTCCATTTCCAAAACTTAGTTGTCACTTCATTTTAAATTCCCACTTCATACTTTTTTAAGTGTGGGGATGTATAATTATACGATGTTTAGAAAGCAAACAAGTTGTTTACGATTCAAGAAACAATAAAAAGATTAAAAAAACCTTATCTGAGCTTCTGCAACGTACAAGAAAACAGAAACTCAATAATCTTGATGGCGAAACCAAATGTATCATAAACGGTCAATATAAAAAGAAGATGAGATCCAAAGCCATCACAACTAATTCGACATTGAAAAACAACACCATAGCCTCTTGGTGGTATCGTACATTGTATTAGTTATTAACAACCTTTGGCCCAATTGATAAGGTTTTTTTACCCAAAAAAATAATTATGAGATGAACTGCAAACACACTGTTTTTATATATTCGATTTGCAGATGAAGATAAATAACAAAGATTTTAGGAAATGCTGAAAATTATGGTGGTTTGAAAGATTCATGTGGAAAGTATTGCCATCATACATTACACTTACACACACAATGCAACAGGGTTGAGTTGCCACCAAAAAGGGTTACACACCATCAAATATTCGCCATCAACAAACCTTTTTCAACAGTATTACAAGCCACCCACACCCACACCCACATGACAATGACTAGTCGTTAAAAAGAAATTTTTTAGAGTATATCTATCTTATCTATCATTTAACAACAGTTCAAGTTATTGGATCATGGAATTATTTGTTTCAATCCTCAACATTAAATATTATCCCTAAGCATGTCCTGAATTATTTATTATTTGTCTTTTTTTTCACTTTCTTTTTCTTTTCAGTTGTATTCTTGAATTGATCAATTTATCAGCATGTCTTTTTACATTGTTATCTGACTTATCAAATAATTTTACTGAACATGACTAGTTTATCAGTTACTCATCACCTAGTATTATAAGCACATCTCCATTTTCTCCAAAATGGGAGCTCCTCTTACCTTTTCAAACTCTAAAAAAGGGCCTAAAAGCTCAAAAATCTTTTTCTCCATTTTATAGTAGCTCTTAAAGATGTTATTAGCTTTTCAAGAAGCTATCTTATAGCTTATCAAACAAAGCTTTTTCAATAAGCTTAAATACAAGCTAACTTATACTCGCTAAACTGACCTCCTAACACAAGATACCAATGAATAACATTTATAACTGTTGTATTCGACTCTATAAAACCGTGTAGAAATCTAAGAAAAAGACATTGTGAGTCTCATTTTCAGGTCTAGTAAACACAACCGTTTCTGGTTCGGAGAAAGAGCTAATGTTGTAAGTTAATCAAACAGATACTATAGCCATGAAAAATCCTTAACCCAATTAGACTCATCGTTGCTGAAATAGAAACCATCTTCCTTAACCAACCACGAGCATTTCCTAAGCAGTCTACACCTGGGTCTGTCTCGGTGCACCTGGAAAGCTTCAAACTTCTTCCTGGTTCGATCCCATTTCATGGTGCACGAGAAAGCAGGGTTGGCAGTCCAGAAACTAATTCTAGCGTCCCAACTGAAGTCATCACCTTCCTGAAGAGCTCGACCACCGATATTGGCATCTTGGGAGGCACACCAGATGACGAGAGGGAGGGAGGAGTTGTTGGTGAAGCCATTAACAACACGAATTTCATACGTAATGCCATGAATGGAGAAGTATTGAGGCTGGTGTTGTTTCATGGATATGAACACTATATATGAAGCTAACAAGAAAACCAGAAAGATTTGCCAATTTTTCATGGTGTTAATTGTTGAGATGATGATGGGATTATGGTTTTGGATGTTCTTTAAGAGGATGTAGTCATGAATGAGCATGTATTTATAGGACAGGGGGATGAGACTATTATAAAGTTCAAATATTAATATAAAAATCATTTAATAATAATTCTAATGATATTTTGAAGCATGGTTGTGATTTTGATTAAAAGGAAATATATTAAAAACTTAGGTATCTATGTTGAGATATCTTTGTCTAAAATGCAATCATGATCATGCCTTATTTGATTCCATCACCTACCTTTAACTTGCACGTTCCAAAATAGATACAATACTTTTAATAATTTTTTGTACACATTTAATCCAACTTTATTTTTTGAATAGATTTTAAATTTAATAGGACTTCACATATTATCACATGATATAAGAGTCAAGGTCTACCACTCTAGGAACTCGACACTCATAGATAATCTATGTCCGTTTAGCCTTCGTTGGAGAGGATACAATATCGGCTAGATTTGAACCATTTCCTCTCTATATATGTTGGAATCTCATTTCTTTACTCTTGAAACATAGGGTAGATGGTCTAGCTACMCAACTGTAGCTGCAGTAGCTACATTGTACCTCCTTAGCCAGTAGCCAGTATGATTTTCTCACTCTTATTGATATTGTGAACTTACTGTAACTTGATATTGATGAGTCTTTTCAAAAGTAATCTAACAGTGTTCCATATATCTTCTAACATTTTATTTGTTGAATTGTTATGTTTTTGGTTCATTTGTCATGTTAACTAAATTTGATTGAAATTAAACAAAAATAATATTATTTTTATATTTTTATATGTTTATATAAATAAAATAGTATTTATGTTATATATACGGGTGCCTGCAAGAGAATATTATTGTCTGTGATTCGTGTTGTTAAACCTCAACCGTGTTTGATGAGTGGCAGGATGTTTTTAGTCCGTACACCAGCTAACTGAACTCCCACTCCATTTGTGTGAAGCTCATCGGTTTACAAAGTTGTCATGCTATTGGTGGCCCCCCCCTACCATCTAAATTCATTACACTCAAATTATCATGTTATTATTATTATTATTATTATTATTATTATTATTATTATTATTATTATTATAAATAAAACTTAGATTCTAAGTCTTTTTCCTACCCAGCATTTCGACTCACATACATCTTAGCTCTCTATATTTCTGCATTTCTAGAAAGAAAGTTAGTTAAAGGTAGATCAAGTTGATATTACAAACCTTTTTTTTAAATCATGGGTGTCCCAGCCAGTTTAAATTGAGGGCACCTTGACCAGTCTCATGGGACCCTAAAACATAACAGTCAAGAAAATCCTCACGGACCCTGAGGAGACTAGAACAGGCAACCAATGGGGGAGGAGATTGAAGGCCTAACTTTCTAACTATGGTATCTAAACAAGGGTTTTGTTTACCTTGTGTGTGTGATATGTTTCAGGTTCTAAACAGGAGAACTTAGCTACCAAAACAAGAAGCATAATTCAAAGATCTAAGAAACTTGAAGATGAACACTAATTCCTGTTTATAAGTTGCTGCTGTTGCCACTATACAAAAGGTTCCATGAATTTGTTAAGCAAATCATGATAAGCTGCTGATTAAGGGAGAACATAAAAACTTACTCGGTTTCAGAAATCCTTGCAGCCATGTGTCCGAAAGCATCTTCAAGATGAGAAAAATGAGCCAAAATTTCCCCATGAAGATCTGAATAATCTAATTGATTTTGCTGCCATACAGTAAGGCTATTGGCAATAACCCTCAGCCCATTCTGCAACAATAAAACTCCTTCATTTATTCCATCTGGAATTTTTCTTCTCTTGTTGGTTTGTTTTGGATCATCTATCTGCATGGTATCAGATTTGGGTATCATAGCCTCACTATTAATGGTTCTCATCTTTTGGACCATTTGTTTTAGTACAAGACCTTCTTTAAAGAGCAGAGCAAGTTCATTTGTACTAGGGGTAGGTTTAACATAAGCTGCTTCCTTTTCAAAGAATACCTTAAACTCGGACATAAACCTTTCCTCATTTGCATCAACTCCCAACTCTAAATCAAATGATAATGCTGCATCTTGTGGCACAAACCTCCACAACTCATTGCAATTAGTTCGTGCAGAAAAATACCCAAATGCAGTGATTGCCAGATGGGCTAAAGCCCAGTGCCGCTCTTTTAATAGCATGTGAAACAACTGCCATGAAGCTGAAACCTTCGCATTGCTGTCGGTTTCTTCAAATTCAATGTGGCCAAGTCCTGCCACAAAAGCAGCCAAATTTGGTATGCATTTCAACAACCCAATATCTGTGACGGCAGACTCTGAGATAAAAAGACTCTGAAGCTCCAAGATAACTCTTTCTATTTCATCAGATGCATATAGATGCTCCATGCTAGAGATGATTCCTAAAGTTTCACTGAGAAGCTTCCTGTACTGGTCCTTAGAGTTGTCACCAGAATTGTTGTATCTATGGATGATGCTAATTAATAGCTTTAGCGCCTTCATTTCTGTGTCTGATATGCTCACCTGCCTACAGAACACCAAGGGGAGGGGGAGGGGGAGGGGGGGTATAATATCAAAAGGTAATCAAGCTTAAGAAATAAAAATAAAAAATATAATACATATTTATAGTATGTTACCTCAAAAATGCTAAAAAGGGGCCAAAATCTACTGTTACTTACAGAGAGTGCAGTGCAGCGGACAAAGCAAAAACTGGTGCACCAAACATTCCTTTTCCACATTGCCGTGATGAGTCGTCATCAAAAATATCGAGGAAGCAAAAATACTCCGTCACTATTCTTTGTTTAGCAACACTTCTGACCTTATCTGAAAGAAAATCTAAAGGGAATCCTTCCATGAGTAATGCTATATACATAGAAGACAATGACTTGGATGCATTACTGCTGACGAAATTGAAAACTCTATCTGCCATGGATTGTGAACCATGCCTAAGGAGCATGCAGATCGATCTGGCAAGCTTACGAAGAACACTACAAGGATTTTGAACTGATTCCCAAGAAGCCGTTGTCCTCAATAATGTGCAGAGTGTATTGATAATATGACTCCCCATGTCTGTTTCAGCATGGCGAACCATAAAGCACCAAAGTTCCATAACTATCTCCCAACAAAGATGATGTGGATGGAACAAGTTTTCAAGCAAAAATGACTCTACTTCTCCCCAAACTGAAGTTGATGAAACTACAAGCATGAAGGTCTTTATTGCATGTATAATAGAAAAAAACATGTTCTGGGAAGCGAGTTCCTGCATTTGACCAGAACAATGTAATAAAGGTACCCGCAAAGCAAGAATAGATGAATAAACATCTTCATCAGTTAGAATATTTAAAAGCCACTCTAGCTTTTTGGCAACCTCAAGTTTCGCGTCATCCTCCAGATCACGAGCACTTCTCAGAAGATTAACAAATAAGGCAAGCTGACCAAGTAACAATATTTTTGACCCATGCATGGAAGCACGAGTCACAGAAAATATGGCATCCATTGATTTGTCCCTATATGTGCTCAATTGATATCCAGGAACAAAACTTGGCACAGTAATATCACTAAATAACCAGTCAAGAATTTGGCATTTATGCTCCTGTTCCAATTGAGCTGAATTTAACAAAGAATTGAGCAGATGAATGGATGTTGGCTCCAGAAGGTCGGCCAAAGCTTCACTTGCAGTGTTAAGGAGCTCTTCTTTACCCAAGAAGATCCGAAAGGTTAAGATCATAAGGATGCAAAGTGTTATATCTTCGAAAACTGAAAATGCTTGGGAAGGGTAGTGGGAGATTATTCTCGCGGCATTAATCAAGTAAAATTTAACTGGAATAAAAATTCTTTTAGCTTCAGCCACAGAAACAGGCTCCATCAACGAAGACCAAGTCTGAGCTGCACAACTCAAAGATCCTTTGGCCAATGAAAGAAGAGACAGAATAATCTCTGCAATGTTCATCTTTACTCCTAGAGTCCCCTTGCATAGCTGAAGCAAAGTAACGACTCCTTTCCATGACAAATTTAGTATAGTGACAAGATTTCCACCAGCATTAGCAGCAAGGATGCCCAAATCAACCAAATTTTCAACAGTACATTTTGTTATACTGATAATGTGATTCTCTTTGTCATCGCCGTTTACATCATTTTCAATTCTAGCATCATAATCCAATTTGACATTGTTGCAATATGCTCTGCATAGACATATAACAGCATCAAGGACCACTAGTGCCGTCTTGAGTACTTTTGAACCAGATGTATGAATTCTCTGTCACAACGACAGAAGAGCAAAATCAGCATGCAACCTTAACTATGATAAAATAATCGAAAGCTTAAAAATCTTCAATTGAAGTGGAAGATCTGGTTCATGGGATGAAAGATTCATATCCTTATGAAACACCAGTGTATAAGCCAACCTACCACAATCACTAATATAATTCTACAACACAAATTGTGTCACAAGTATATGAACAGGGAGATATGAGTATGCTAAATAAAATAAATATCAAAAATTCAAAGAAAATATCGGTGTGTTTATATGTGTAAATGTGTAATAACCAAATCAGTAAAAGGAAAAAGTTATTTCATCGTTCGTGCAATAAATACGTAGAGATAAATACACACTAAATGGAAGAACTTAAATATTACCATGCTGTTAGTTTGCTTAGTGTGCCCATATTAGTCAACACTGTCAAAAGAGTAACATATTGTCGTCTTGTTTTTCCTCTTTGCAGTCATAAACTTAAGTTCATTTTCTATTTTAGCTCTTCTGACTAATTTTAAGATTTGTATATTTTTCATCTTTTTCTTGTAAAACGGAAGTCCAATATTCCTCTTGAGTATCCCAGTAGCGTATCCTTGTGGGTTCATGGTCCGTACTTCGGGGATACGATAGGGACGGACCCAGAAATTTTTTCAAATGGTGGCACCATATGGTTAATATAATATAATATAGATCCAAAAATAATTACAAAAAATATGGTTTTTATAGGACCGATAAACAACTCCTAAACTTGTACCCAACGGGTCTTCCAATTTATTTGGGTTTAATTTAGAATTGGGCTTCCAATTTATTTGGGTTTCAGTTGCACATTTTAAGTTTCAGGAATAATACGGTAGCACCTTCTAAAACGATGCGGTTGCACCATTCACGAACCTAAATTTTTTACCCTTCGATGGAGGAATAATACGGTGGCACATGCCACCTATACCACCTAAACAGGTCCGTCCGATACGATCAATGCCACATTGGATGCGCACCGAACCACACCCCTGAAGAAATGCACCCCAAAAGCACCCAATATGTAAATTCGACAAGAGAAGAAGCAACACTGCTTCCTAGAACAGAATATTCCACCAAATACGCACACAAGCATCATACTTGCATTATAACATCTTAATATAGCAAATATGACTTAAGAGAATTGAACAGTAAAAGTGGGAAAGTAGTCACCTTAGCCTCTAATATCGAATCTTTTGTCAGGTTTAAGAGTTCAGAAATAGATGTTTCAATGATGGTCATTAGCTCTTTTCCTGTTGAAACTGGATGCCTTGCCAAAACTGATAAAACAGCATCCCAATGGCCTAACATATCCAAGAGCACCTGAAACAAAAAGTAGTTTCTTCAAGGTACTCTTATCTCATTAAGATATAGGCAGCAATGTCAATATGGCTAAAGCACAAGCATCATCTAAGGTCGCATTAAGGTGTGAAAATTGAACAGTTTCACATGGTACACCTAGCAAAATCCTAGAAACTGTATGTGGGAATTAGGAACTGCATCCCCTACAAAATGGAGAGTGAGATGCACTGTTTTGCATCTATGTTCATGTACCTGTGCTTTTACCTTTTCCTTTTCCTCAAAGCCTGTACACACCTAGATATGGACGAGCTTGACCACACTATACCTAACAAGCTCCAGGCAGCCATGGTGTATGGATTAAGTCTATCGGGTTCGGCTTCAGCTACACACTTGTACCTTTGGGAGAAGAGAAGGGTGCAGTTTGAATATCATCTTCAAATCCATTTAGATATTGGAAAAAATAAGGTCAAATGTGGCTCATAAGGTTTAGATTGATGCTGAGAGAAAGCAAAGCATTTTACAAGTGTGAGAGTATATGGAACCTCGTTAGATTACTCTCCAAAAGAGCACTTGAGGAAGAAGGGAGGTTCCGACACATATTCAAGAGAAATGATCCAAGTCTTGTCAATGTGGGACTCTAACACACCCCCTCCAACAGAGGCTAGACGGGCACATATTGTCCCAAGAGTGTCAAGAGGGGCCAAGACGGGTGAGGGGGATTAGACGAGTATAGATTGCCCCAAAGTGGTAGGCGTTAGCTCTTATTTCATGTGAGAATATGTGGAACCCCATTAGATTACTCTCCAAAACAGCACTTGAGAAGAGAATGGGAGGTTCCAACATATATTCAAGAGAAATGGTCCAACTCTAGCCGATGTAGGACTCTAACAAGAATGAAGATTTTGATATTGAAAAAAAAGCTTGACTTGATCAAGTATATATCACCTGGAAAAACAGACCGCAATGTTCTTCTTCTTGAGAATCATCGGAGGACATAAGTGTCATCTTCATGTGTTTTCGACACCATATGCTTGCCTTGTATAAATTTGAGAAGCAACATAGTCTACAGAGTAAACTGATCAGTTGGTTTAAAAGGTAAGCACAGGATTGAAGAAAAATGTACCTTGGTTCCTAGAGCAAGCAATTGACTGAGGCATTTGGACATATCCGATTCTAGGTAAGTTGTTGCCACTTGCAATATAGTTTTGTTTAACATACACTGGGATACATCCAGACATGTGAAGTCTTCCCAGAATGTCTAGCCCAAAGTTAAGGTGACAATGCACAAAAGAAGAGTGCTAAACATAGAACTATAAAAGTCACATAATGGTTCGTATTAAGAATATGACTCGAGTCAAGGAAGAACAGAGCAATAGAGAACTTGTGTGAGATTACAATGTCTTCAATCATAAAAAGCGATGCAATCTATATATGTGGGGAGTCCAATGATGCTAGAAATCGATCACAGAGATAAAAATGCAAATAGGTAGCTGCTTAGATGATTGCAAATATATCAAAAATTAATCATATGACATTGCGGAGAGAATATGTCTTCCATGGTGGAGCTAACATGGATAATAGAACAATTACAGTAGAAATTTATCCAAGGGAGAGATGATTGTTAATCATATAGATTGGAGGCATCTACTCGCAAGTTAAATTGTGAAAATAAATTATTCAGTTGGAAATTTCATTGAATGGGATCTCAAGGCTAGCCATGAAATAGCATAGTTTGATTGAAAAACAAAATACCTCCAAGATGTTTGGAAACAGACTCCCATTATTTATCAACTACTCAGCCATACAAACAGCCTATTTCATTATGAGATTCCATACATAAAAATATAAAAGCAGAACATAGTAGTGTTCGTTCAGGTCATGGTAGAGGCTTTAAAAATAATTTTCTTGAGAACTTATTTGAAAAAAGTTAACAAATGGTAAAGACACTAGGATTAATAACTGAACAAAGTCAATTATGGCTTGTTATCAAATCCCTTCACACCAAAATTTAAAAAAAAAATCAAACAAATGACACGGTTAGCATGATACTGTTAGACATTCTATGATAGAAGCCCGTTCATTTTCATCAGTAACATCTAACTCCCCAAGTTCAGAAATTAGCTGAGTACGGTTCTCGACCACCTGTAGAATTAAATAAACCGACTTAATAATAAGATCATAAAATAATGTGACTTCTAACAAAACAAGGAATGCAAAATAGTACAATCTTCTCCCTTCGATGCAAGGGCGGCTGTATTGGTATATGACAGCAGGGGATACGTAAAAGTTTAATGTAGACTTTCAAACACGCCTAAATTCTGTTAGGATGGATGTTATAGACAAACGATTTTCTCTTTAAACTCTACTTGTTACTAATACTTCCATTCCTACAAAACATAGAATACAAGATAGTACAACCTTTTCCCTTCATTGCAAAGGCTGTTGTATTGGTGTATGATAGCAGGGAACTGTCAAAAGTCAATCTAGACCTTCAAATAAACCTAAATTCTGGTGGGATGGATGTTATAAACTAACAATTTTGTCTTTGAACTCTGCACATGACTGATATTTCCCTATAAAAACTAACTCTAAGCAGCAAACTGGTCTGAAAGCCTTCAAATCAACTAAAACCAGAGACTTAGAAGACTCGCAGTTCACATCATAACCTATGTGGGACAAGATATCACATGTTCCCCTTCTCGAAATCCTCCTTATTAGGGGTATACAATAACCCAAATAAGATTCCATAAAACTTATCACCAGATGCATGGGTCCAACTCCAGAGGATGTTGCTGTGCTACTACCATTTCTAATGCCTGAAACCCAAAGCAGCAGGCTAATATCCTCCAAATTAACTAAAACCATGGTGGGAATTTGATAGCAGCACACATATCATAACTAACACGGCACACACAATTCACGTAAAAACCAACATGAGACAATACGTCACAAAAACTGTACACCAGAGTTGGAAAAGAAATCGAATGTTCCTTTAGGGACTGAAATAACATTGCAAGTACCATGTATTTCAAGCTGCTAACATTACTTCAGAATGTGACAGTCATGTCGATTTTAGTCGGTCAAGTTAATGATAAATTACTAGGGTTCACGAGGTTCCTATATAATTAACCAATTGCAAGTCACACAACTGCCAGTTGGTATTCAGGAACATGAAATCTCATGATCAGACTTCCTAAACCAGGATTATCTAGTTTAGAGTAAATCCCTTATTGCCCAAACAATGACGCTCCTGAACATACCCATAACATATCTATCTAGACACTCCTCACTACTTTTTGAGCACAGGTTTTTATCCAACACGTCTGGTTTTCATCAGTAAGCGCACAATTGTAATATAAAAAACTGCCGATTTTCCTAACAAGTTCCAATTATGAAAAAACAAATCATAATATAAACTAGAACACCAAAACCTGAGCAAACAAGGGACCTAAAAATGATCCTGGAAGTTAGTAATTGAAGTATAAAGAAGCTTACGTCTGACGCTTTAATGGCGTCGAGCAAGCTCTGCAGCTCGTTTCCAGACGGCTTTCTCTTCATCGTGGCTCTCTCCATTTCCTCTCGCTCGCTGTGGTGTTATTTTCCCGCCCGCATTATTTGTTGGAGGGAAGCTATAATTTACAATTTTGTAGCTGAAAGTTTGAGTTTTGAAAAGCTATACCCTTGCACTCTCAATTATTACACTTAAACCCACAGATAAAAGGGACTTACAATGACCCTCCTTGATTGTTTTTTAAAAACTCTGTTACGTGTAATTCATTAAATTTTCTCAATCTAATTAAGTCTTCAGCGTCAATCAATAGTCATGTAGACTACTTATTTTTATCAATTTTTAAGAGACATTTATGTCTTATTGTCCTTTTATATGGTATGTGCCAAACCAACATTTTATTTGTCTCTTATTGCTCTTCAAATCATTTACCTCAACTGATTCTATCTTAGACATTGTTCGACAAACATAAATTAGTTTATTGAGTTGTTTGATTGCTCATAAGTTAACTTATTGAAACGTCAGTTACAGTAACGTTTAAGAGCGTTTTGACATTTTTTTTTCCTATTATAACTCTGATTAATATTAAACGTTAGTACATATAAATAAAAGTTAATTATTATTAATATTATTTATT